GACCCATTCACTAGTGATATGGAGTTGGTAGAATCTTATGATGGACACTATGATGTTGTTTATGGGACATATGATCCAAAATACCTCACCAGGTAAGGTAGATACAAGATAGACCTATCTTCGTTTTCTTTATCACTGAGCGGTGTTATGGCGTTGTGATTCCAAAGATCTTATATCCCTATCATTTATTCATATTTGTGTTTAAGAACATGCAACTGGAGTGATACAATTGTCTTCATAATTAATTTTTGTGTTTTGTTGAGGAAACGGTGTAGAAACTTATTTTAGATAAAATTCTCGGGTGAGTGATTTATGACAATGTTCGCTTAATTCCTACCCTGTAATTCTTTAAATCTTATTTGATCAAAGGCTCATGTCCATACTTCTATTGTCTTTCCAATTTGATCTTTCTGAAGTTTTAAATCTCAAACATAATCTTTTTGCCATTTTAAAATTAGAGTGTCCTGCTCTTACAGTTTATACCATGTCCGTGTTTCACATTTTACTAATTGATCAGCCAAGACTGAAAAGATCTTATATGTTTTAGTACTCCTGCAGCGATAAAAGAAACTTATGCCACATCGAGAAACTCCTTTCATACATCTAGTTCTTGGCTGTACATAGTACTGTGAAGTATATGTGTGCGAACATGTGCCTATTGTCAAATCGTTTTTCTGTTTTAACACTTGAAGAAGAATATATGTGCAGTGCTGAGCTAAAACAGTGAGCTGCTGGATTGAAAGATATAATCCTTTTGTTCATTTTTGAGTAGTTTCGGCCTGGATTTATGAAAATAAGTAATAGGACCTACACAGGAAGTGCTGTAAGATTGTGCAATGACGTCCTTACATGTGCTTGTGCTTGTGCTTGTGCATGTGCGGGCACTTCTGTGTTCTTGCATGTAAGAGAGACAGAGACTGTCCAATGTGGATGTTGTAGTCTTGGCATTATATCCCTTGAATATCACATCAGGGCATTGTGTATGTATCATTCAGATGATCTAATATTGCGTTTATTTTCGTTTTGTTTAATTCAAAACAAAATTAAAAAAAAGAACCTGTTGAAACCTGGAACCGACCCTGGAACCTGTGACATGGAAGGTTCCAGGTTCCAGGTTCTAACGGGTAGGTTCCAAGTTCAGGCGGAACCTACCCGGAACCTGGAACCGCTCACCCCTAACGGAGAGTTGATTATGCTAGATTACTCCAACGCCTTTTCAGTACCTTTTCTCTTTTATTCTCAAAACGTTTTGGCAACTTGGATTAATTTTAAACCCAACCTCAAACATGTGAATGATGATCATGCGGATGCGCAATCAATAAATTGCAAGAAATCAAGAATTAAACTAAGGCTCTAAATATACTAAACTTAGCCTAACCGTGATTTTCCAAATAGCTATGCCATTTTAATTTACTCTTTTTGGACTCAATTGCACTTTCGTGATTAATTTTAAGACTCAATTGCACTTTTTGAAAGATTTAAGACTCACTCGATATATTTTCTCATTTAAAGCAAATGTTTCAAGCAATCCTTCACAAATTTTTTGTTTGTGAGACATATAAATCTAGATGATCATGCATGGTACTTATGTAACAAAATTTAATCTAGATAACATCCAAGCAATATATAGTCTTAACAAAGCAAATAATGGCGGTAAACAAAAGATAACTCAAAGCCGTATGGAGCAGAATTTGAACAGCGCCATGTTTAAGCCCCGAGACAATACCTCGTGAGTTATGCTAAAATTAAATGTTCAATTAACCTAGACTAAGGAATGCAAATTTTCCAAACTAGATGATGACAATAAGGTATTGATATCAAAGAAAATCAGAATTAGTTCAAACTAAACTAATCCCTATAATGTAATTCCTATCTAAATGCAAGACCATTTTTTTTACTTACCTATTTTATTTCCTTTTCGTTTTTTCTCATGATAAACATTATATAGGACCTAAACTAGATTAAATACATACTAACAAAAAATAAACTAAATGCAAGGCTAGAACTTGAATGAAAATGCTATTAACATGTAAATGGGATGGAAATGATGCTAACTTGCGAAAGGACGGCTCAGGACCACAAGGAGTCCTTAAGGCTGAGACAAGTGTCATGGGCCGGTAATTCCTTGACCGCGGAATAGCTCGTGCAGCGCCTAACAAGTTAATAACACCAGGCCAGCTTTCTTTATATAGGAGTTCCTAAGAATAGTATGGCGAATAGTATCCCCATATCGAATCGTACCATACTTAGCTTAGCTGGGGAATCCAGTCCCTCGACAAGACACAGAATATTTTAGACACAACAATTGGTTTCGGCCTTCCATGGCCTCATCAGCAGAGCGACATCAGTTCCCAACCGGTTTGTGCACAAGAGGCAACCTCGCCTTGAGAGCTCCTAATAGTTATAACCGTTTTATCCTATAACTCCTAGCACAAACACCCTAACGTCACGTTCACTAACCAGTTGTATTTATCCATTATGTATCACTCACTCTTTACCCAGACGCCACAAGCTCCGCTCGCAAGAATACACGAGTAAGGGAGAATCATGGTCCATGAAATTCTCCCCCACTCAATTCCGCAACGCTCTCGTTGCCAGTTGTTTTGTCACTTCCATGCGCACTTCAACCATTAATCTGCCACTCCGATGACACAGATGAGGGCGAGTGTCAACAAGGCTCTCCTTGCCAGATTTGGCGAGGCTCAACGAGCCCCACCTAGGCAACGGTGAGGCTCGTCTAGGCCAACCCTCGCCTAGGAGAGGCCCGCCTAGGCCACCCTAGCCTGGGTGAACGTCGGCCTCGTCCTTGCCCAAGCGCAGCCTAGTAAGGTTGACCCTTGCTGACTATGGCATGTAGGGAAAGAAAAAAAAAATTGAAAAAACTATTAAAATTTATTAAAAAAATTTCACGTTATCACCGGTTGTGCCACGTAAAAAGGTTAGCATCTAAGTCAGTGATTTCCGGCCTAAATTAGGTGGATGGATTGAATTGGTACCAATGCGAGAAGGTTTAGGACTGAATTGACATAATTCAAAAGTTTAAGAATAAATTGGTATAAATGAAATAGGTTTAAGATTTTTTTGTTTCTTTCCCCCGCAGGTAAACAGCATAATGTTGCTACAATTAGGCATACCGCAGTCGAATGGACTTGACAACGGCAGCTATATAGACCTGTTGAAAATATATCTCAAGTTTGAGTTCAAAAAGGAAAGTTTTCTTATTCAAGTAAATTTCCTATTTTGAAAAAATTTCCTAACTAAATGATTTCCTAATTGGAGAAAATTTCCTCTTTTAGATCCAATTCTTGCCTATATATAAGAAGTGGATGTTCTTTGTGAAGAGCATCAAAGAGGAGCTTCTACTTGTGAATTACATTCTAAAGATATCCACGAGTGTTGAAGTTAATAAATCTTGTGGTAAGATTTGTGAATTCCTTTATGAGATTGAGATATTATTTCGTGAGAAATTATGGGGCTAAATACTGTGTGAGTTATTTGGTGTAACTGAAGGCTTGGGAAACACTAAGTGCTTAAGCAACTCGAGTGTAGTTGTAATCTCCGTTGTATCGCTTGATCTATAGTGGAATTGTTTGCTGCTTTCCTCGTGAACATACCGAACCATGTAAATCCGGTGTTCAATCTATTTTCTTGTTGTATCTATTTTATTATTCGACCGCTTGTTTGCGTAACACTATCGATTATCCCTAATTGGTCAAACATATACTTGCAAATTTCAGACCGCACTAAGATCAATGCTTCAGGTTAAAAAAAAAACTCACATATTGATCCATCGAAGAGAAATTTAATAGGTATTTTGACATTCTTAGAGGCTACATTCTTAGATGCTATAGCCAATACTAATCATTTAATTACTAAAAAAAAACTACAAGATCACCTATTGCTAAGACAGCAAAGTCTATGGAATCAGCAAATGTCAATTAGGAGGTTTTTGGAGGCTGAGTAGAAAGGCTATTCTGTCATCCTTAGGTTGTCTTTTTTTTAGTTTTAGCACCTGCTAAAAGTAGACATTTATAAATGTCTACGATCTTGAATTAATGACAGCGTTATTTACAAAGTCTGGGGCACTCTACCTAATGAAAATGTACATATTGACAAGATGACACTTTCGTGTCTGCTTTGATAGAATAGGGGCTTCCATGGTCCACCGCATATGGGAGAGGAGAGTCGTCACGAGAGCGTTGTGGATTGAAGCAAACTAGCTAGATGCTTTCATTGGTCTGAGAAGTACGAGATAAGGTCAATTGAGGGTCTTAGGGTTGAGGTGAGTTTGGACCAAAATTGCCCTAAGAAAGGCGCGAACCGTGCACGCGACGAAAGTCCACCCGTCGGAGGCCATTATCATCAACGACAATGAGCTCAAGGGATTATAGGGTCAAAATGATCAAGATCGGGAGTTACTACAGAACAAAACTGAGTGTGAAGGAATTTCGAGAAATGGGCACCACTTCACGGGGGTTGTCGAGTTAAAGCGCTTGAGTTCAGGAGCTATTTTGAAATGAAGTCAATGAACTTCGAGAAAACATGCAATTTCAAGGGGGTTTTTGAAATTTTCTCTCATTAAGTGTCGATATTATCTTAGGAAAAATTGTAAAAACAGTCATAAATTTATTATACTTTTATCGATTCGATCCCAAAACTTTCAATTTTATCAATTAAGTCTTAAACATTTTCACTTCTTGTCAATTAAGTCTATTCGGCCAATTTTGGCTGAAAATTGCTTACATGAATTGATTTTTAATAATATTTTAATATATTTTGAATTTATTTTTATTTTTCTTTACTGTTCTTTTTTTTTTTCCTCTCCTTCTTCCTCCGGCCGGTCACTGGGTCTCAAGCTCTCAGCAATCGGCCAAAGGCGAGGGCCGACCTGGTCGACCTTACCGGCCTCGGGCGAGTCTCGCCCCTGCCGGGCAATGATTCGGACTAATTACAACCTTCTTGTTTTCATGTTTTTTTTTTTTGGGTTTACACTGACAATACGCACTTCCGGTCCGTTCCGCCTTCTCTTTCGCAACGTGCAAATGTTATGTCCCTGTCGGCTCGCGAAGCTCCGGCCGTCGCCGCGCCCGCTCCTCTCCGCCGCGGCTCGTCGTCGTCTCCGCCGCATCGATCTCCGACCCTCCATCTCGTCCTCCTCTCCACCTCGGCAGGTTCGTATCCTTCACGCTACTTCCTCGCCGTCCACCGACTTGGGGATCCCGAGCTCACGTCGACGTGATAGGTCTCGCCGTGGCCGCCCGTGGACAAGGGGTGCGGCGGTTTCTTGCCGTGGTTGGAGCGGAAAGCGGGCGTCGAGATCTCGTCGTTCCTTTCGGTCGGGAAATCCGTCTACGGAAGGTCATTTCCCGCGTGCTGCATTTCCCTTTTGACCTTTTGATGTTTTGGAACTGTCAGTGATGTCCGGTTGAGAGTTGATTCAGGAGGCGGCGATTCCGCTAGCTCGTGTGCCGTAGTCTTGTTGTCTGAAGTGTGCATTGAGTTGTTTGAGCTCGAATTAGCAGCTGCTGAGCTTTATGAACTTTGTCTAGGATTGAATGCGACGGTCGAATTTGAAATCTGCTACCTAGAATTTCACGTTATGGGGCAGGACAATTCAAGTTTTTGATGATGTACTTGAGTTTGTCTTAAGTTTCAAGTTGGCATTATGCGGATTATCATCCTGCTCCTAGTCCTAAATCTGCAATCATCTCAGCCGTTTCGAACATCTGCTTTGTTCAATACAAGCGTGAAAAGAATTGACAACATGTCAGTTTCTCTGACATTGTGCTTATTTGAAAGAAGGGCGTATAAAAAATATATTTGAAGAAAATAAGCTTTCTTGACTGTCTCTGTGTGTGTGAAAGAGAGATTATCCTACTATGCTCCTTTCTTTTGCTCTTCATTGCGCTGGACCTTTATCTGTGCATGATTTGTCGATGCAGGTCCCTGTTTGCTTCAAAGGCGATAAGAGCAGGGGACAGCATTTTGAAGGTCCCTTTTGACGCGGTAAGTTATTTGTCGTAGGTTCAAATAAAGGATAGATTGATTGAAAGAACCATACTTAAGTTGAATTCTCTGCCTTAAATTTACAGGAAATATCACCAGATGATCTCCTTCCTGAAATTAGGTCCTTTAAAGTAGGAACTGTAGCAAAACTTGCTGCCGTCGTCCTGAAAGAACAGAAAATGGGTCCGGTAATGCTGTTGTAGCTCCTTCTGTTTTCCTAAACTTCCACTGAACAGCAGTGCTGTGTATTTATTTGTGCATTACGGTAGCTTCTGCAGTTGATCAGTTTTTCCTTTATTTTAACAGGATTCTGATTGGGCTCCTTATATAAGATGTCTTCCACGGCCCGAGGAGATGCATAGCACGGTCTGAATGTCTTGCTAAATGTTCTTACACTCTGATTTGCAAATTTTGTTCTTCCTATCTTATCGATGCTTGTAGTCTTAGGAAAATGAAATACATCGCATATTTTCAAAACTTCCTTCATCGAGAAAGTTGGAGGTCCTCATAATGATTAAGTGGGATTTGCATTTCATTGCTGCTTTTTTATATAGTCAATGAAGAGTAATAAAATTCTATCTTCTATATTCCTTCTTGTAGCTGTACAATATTATCGAAGGATAATAATAAAATAAATCTATTATGAGAATTTTCTTTTTTAATATAGTTAGGATTTTAAATATTCAAACAATAGAAATGCAGTTGAATGTTAAGCATAAGTCATCTTGCCATAAATTGCATCCCTTGCAGCAAGATATGCTAGCTATATTTATATTTCGAACAGTTTGATAGCAATATAATTTTGTTTGCTGTGGAGGCTTCATTAGTTCAAGAGGGATCTGTATGGATATAATTATCATGGGAAATACTAAAATGTTTGGGAGTCTGAAAATTTGTTAGTGCTTGATTAACATATATATCTATATTTACGTATCATTGAAAAATCAAGATTAAGAAAACAAACAAATATTTTCGAACTGTGCTACTAAAGTAAGATATAGTGCAATCTATTCTACTCTCAGGATTGGTAATTTTGTGGTATCTATGTCTCTTTGAAACCTCATACTACCCTACCAGCACTTAAGGTCGTTATCGAAATGGCAGTTTAGGTGCTTCAGTTTTTAATAAGCATACAGCCGACAGGAAGGTTGGTATGGATTTTGAACATGGCTACAAACTGGCTCCAGGTATTCTGGAGCGATGAGCAGTTGGAGATGATTAAAGAAAGCTTGGTCTATCAAAAAACCATTGACAAGAAAGTTGGAATGGAGAGGGAATTTTCAGTTCTCAGGCATGTAAGTATTTGGTGTCGTCCCCCAGCAATATTACTTTTATTGTTGAGGCGATTTTATTTGGCTATTCATATATGATTAGGAACAAATACATCATTATGGCATGTGTAGCATGTGATTATAGCTGCACTCACTAGATAACTGTTATACGGATCATATCCAGAATGTGTCCTGAATGTACAAGCCTAATTTTTCTTTCCTGCAATATTAAGTTGCTGATAGGATAAAAAGTACTTTATCCTATAGGGTGGTTTCATCAGTCGAAAATGGCTTCATCTTCAAGATGCTGTGCCGGCAACAGGATTATCTTTAAGTGGGGTGCCATTGATACGTATGTAAGATTAATAAATGTCTATCAAGTAGCAGTGCTTTTGAGTATGGCACTGTGCTAGTGAAACTAATCGGTTAGTTTCAGGTAGCCTTTGGTGAATAGAACACAATGGTACGTTTGAGTAATACAGGGTGACGAATAGAAGGAAAAAATATGGTTGAATCAATTATTAACTCTGGGTGTGGATACATGACAAAGATTAGACCGGCTAAACCATGTACAGTGTGGAAGTTTGTCTAATCTGAGCAAAAACATTATCAACATCACCTTCTCAGCCATGACAACTCCATCTCTATCCAAAGCAAGACATGGGGTCAAGTAAACTAGATCTTCCATTATGCAACAGCTCCACTCACGGTGGTTCTATTGATTGGTATTTGGGACGAATTGCATCAGAAGTGGTCACACTTTCAGGATACTTCCATTTAAATGCTGGAAATTGAATTTTTCTTTCCAAGTATATCAACTCGTAAATTCTAACCAAATAATTAGCAGTTGGTGTATCCAAGTGAAACAGCTAAAGTAAGTACTCATACGAAATGGAAACTCCCTAAGTTAGAACGCCTTCAATGTACATATCCCTGTTTTCCTTTGCCAAGTCCGGTCGTCAGCTTGATGTTACATGCAATGACCTTATGTTGCTTCAAGAAAGTAATTTTAATATGCCACTGCGAATAATTTCAGGCTCTTGATCAACACTTCCCAGAAGTTTCCAAGGATATGAAATTTGAAGATTTCATGCATGCATGTGCTTTAGGTAAGCAACTTTGTTTGACATTATAGTGCTCTCTCACTGCATGTGGAACCAACTCCTGCTCATTTTGCATGACAGACTCTTTCTAAATACTTATATCCCCCCCTGCTCTTTTTATCTCAATTTCAGCTTGCAAAGCTTGGGTTTTTTACTCCGAGTTGGCATTCCTATGAGTTTATACATATTCTTAGGTGTTGAAGTAATGTACTGTTTTGGCACCTTTTTGTGATTTTCTTCATGTGGCTTTCCTTAAGCGCATGAAACTGGAAGAACTTGCTACCGGTTTACTTTTTTTTGTTGCCATTTTCCGTATTATAATACTTGTGGTACTTATAGACCACCTGCTGTTGCAATGGCCCTTTCCTTGAATTTAGGACAGTCATTTTTAAATCATACATTTTTCGCAGTTTGATGTCTTGGATGTGATGTTCCATAGTAGTCACTGTAGGTTTTTGGCTGCCATTTGGTTTACCACCTGTATTTATGTTGTTTAACTGGTACAACTTCTAATGTTTCCTCATGAATACATGATTGTTATGACAGTGGAATCTCGCGCATGGGAAAGCAGCAAGGGCTGTTCTCTGGTAAAGATTACCAGTATAAGATTGACAAAGCACTTCTCTTGCTAATGTCTATACAGAAATTGAATAATCTTCTGGTAGATTCCTTTTGCAGATTTTCTAAACCATGATGGGCTTGCAAAAGCAGTTTTGTTGAGGGATGAACAAAAGCAATTCTCAGAGGTGATCTCCTCCTAGCACCACGTCTACCACTTCTCCTTTTGCCAAAATTTGATTTGTTTGTTCTTTTCTTGCCCATAGCAAAAACTTTTCCTGTTGAAGTTGAGTGTACTATACGTTGGTGATTTTGTTCCTTATAAGCTTAAAAAAATTTCAGGTGATTGCTGATCGCAATTATGCTCCTGGTGAACAGGTTGGGCATCAATTTTCAAGATACTCTTATCCTCTTTTTTTGGATCTTCAGTCTCTTTTAAGAAATGCTTCTGTTCGTGAGATGGATTTTTGCTAATGATCATCTCTATTTAAAAAGACCATATAGCCTGATACTACTTTCGATGCTGCAATGATGAGGTTTTTAGCTACTTGGGAATATATTCCTAAACTTCTACTGGAGCATCTTTCATGACATTCTTCATTAGGTACTAAGTTTCTTGCTTGAGTTCTGTTCTTTGGACAGATTGCATTGACCATCTTCCTTTTTAGTGGAAGTACAAGTTCTCCAGGCATTTGTCAGTTAATGCTCTTATCGTCAATCTAAGAGGACTCTCAACCGTTTTCTTTATTAGCAAGAAACTGCAGCAAATTTGTAAAACACAAAGATGACAATATCCTTGAGAGAGTTTTGAGTAAAGAAAATTTTACATTCCGATGTACATTCTAAACATCTCACGCCAAAAGTTGCAAAAGTTGTTTGGTCAAATTGTAGGCAACGTCTATAATCAAACCAGTTCCAAATGGCATGTATACTTGCCCCTGTTTTGCAACTCCATTGGCTGTTGATACTTCTGGTCTTCGTTTTCGCAGTTAAACTTTATCTCGTTGTTTCTAATCAATGTGCATTAATGAAATGTTTTGGAATATTTAAACCAGTTACACAGTAGCTGCAAATTGCTTTCTTGTCAATAATTCTCAAAGTGTTGATCTTAAACCATGACAGGGAATAATACATGGACTTTGTACCACAATGTCAACTGATTTTGCACGCACTATGTTTGGATTCCTCTTATTAAAAGATTGTTCTAGTGATTGTATAACTCTCTTCTCCATAGGATGCTTCTTTTTCTCCAAGTAGGGAAAGAAACTTAATTTGCTCATCAAAACAAAAATTTGATATTTATGAAAATCCTGAAGTTTGATATCTCACATTAATATGTTAATTTTATTTGGTGATCGTGGTTCAGGGTTTTCATGGTTATGTATGAGATTTTGCTCTTGTTTGGTTGAGGACATGTAGAACAAAATTAATAACAAAACATGGATGCAAACTCATCACATCTCCGGTAGTCCACTTTTGACACGTTGTATCATGAGGAACCTTTGACATTTGTGTACAGGTACTAATATCGTATGGGAAGTTTTCAAATGCTATCTTAGTGTTGGATTTCGGGTTTACCCTTCCACACAACATTCATGATGAGGTCAGTTTTAGATTCTAATTGAACAAATGTACAGTGATCCATGTTTCGTACTAGTTAGATGTGATTTGCAACGCAGAATTGATTATTGCAGCAGTGGTTTAGTTTAATTTAATGAAATTATGCTTTGCGTCTGGGACATTCTTTTGTTAATCATGTTCTCAAAGCCTTGTATTTTGGTGGATGAACATATGATGATTTCAGTGCTCATCCATTTTGGATGAAATATACGTCCTTGACTTTAGGGTGGCATTGCACAGTTTGTGTTAGATAGTCTTCGTGAGAATACTAATTTCCTCCTCGAATGATATGTTTGTTCTGCTGATTTCTTATGATCAGATAAGTTGATTTTGTGTATACTGATCGTTCTAATCTTTCAAGATTTCTTTGGGACCAGAATCTTGGATCGTGGTTTGCTAGATTAAATATTGAGGCCTACAGTTATTTTTGTTTTTCCTGCTAAATTTAGCCATATGACGTTTGTAAATAGGTTTTTGTTGGAGTGTGTCCTTAGGCACTTGTTAACTAACATGGAAAGTTTTCAATTTCAATACACTAATTTTTCTCATTTTATATGTGATTATCGCTTTGGAAAATGGAAAGTTTCTTCAAGTATGCTTAACGACTGGGCTGATATGATCATTCTTGATAAATTGTTCACTCTTGTTGTTTTTCCTTGAATTTAAATTATACTACATTTCCCAATGCGAAAGTAAAAATCAGCCATGCCATTCTTTCTCATATGTACCTCTAGAAATTTCACAGACTGCATCTTCCAGGAATCTGCTGTCTTATAGATACAGTGTGCAGGTTGGAGCTGAAAATTTGACACCAGTACTTGTTAACTTTATTGTATATAGATGTTCATGACAGGAGATTCTGACAAACAAACGACTAGAAAGAAAGCAATGGGAGCATATATGAATGTAGAAAGTATTTTCATCGCATGCTCATTAAGTACTGCACCGCACATTTGTTTTGGCATGGTGAATGCTTCTGACAAATTATTGGCTACTTTCAGTTTCAAATCCAATTCAATGTTCCTCTTCAAGATCCTCTATACAAAATGAAGCTGTATCTTCTGCAAAGACATTGCTCACAGATAACTCACAGATTTGGCATTTCCAAGTGTTCCGCAGATTCTTTCACAATCAAGTTGGTATTGATGCTTTATTTTCCATATGCTAGATGCCATTAATTTGAGACTGTATCAATTGGTATGTTTCCTATGGTATGTCCAACTGAAGCTATGGATCCGGGTCCTTAAAGTTATCCGAGAACCAACTTTCCCTTTTGAGATTGTCGCGTGACACTCATTAGTTACAAACACTTAACTCTTAGTTGGGATAGTTCACCATATAAGAAAGTTGGGAGTAGTTTTGGCTTCTATGAAATATCTTCCGCTTTCTCTAAGTTCTTGCAATTGCTATGTAAGGCTGAAGATGATCACTTTTCTCAATGTTGTCCTGGTCTTCTTGATTGTTCATACCCATAGTAAAAGCTCTGCAGCTTCTTATGTAGCTTCTAAGAGAAACGCTGGTGACTGATAAAACATCATAAACCATTAGCACCTGTGACCCTGACTAGTTCTCGAAGGTAGAGTTGCTAAGGTGGTGTATGACTTAAAAACCTTCTCCCTTTAAGAAACAAGGAACTGCTTTGATGTAATTAAGTCATATCAGTATTTCTGTAACTTCCTTTGATCTGCATAAGCAGGTGATCTTACATAAATACTGAGCGGCGACAATGTCATTGTTGTGTTATAGGTTTGAATCTATTGATAATTTGTTGTCTTTCAGGGAAGTGAGATCTGCTAAAGGAATAGGCACTGGGATTCCACAAGCACTCCGTGCTGCTGCCCGTGTGCTATCTTGCACCTCTCTTGAAGGTGTGTGAATCATATTTTTCTCCTTGCACATAGTTCTGTATTCTTCAGAACGAACTTTACTCTGAACCAGACACTTGCTTTAGTGAATGTACTCTGATAGGTTGATTTTCAGAGCTGAATGATATGGAGGAGGAAGCCACCCAAAATGATGGCCGGCTAGGCCGACGTCCTTTGAAGAACATCAACAGGGAGATACAAGCGCATCAGTTGTTGCTATCACATATCACTAAATTGATTGACCAATACAATGCATCTGCGAAGGTATTGTCCTTGTTATTATGTGTGATAAGCTCCAGAAGCCTGCAAAAGAAGTGAGCTTGCACATCAAGTATCAATATGCTTAGGCTCTTATCCCGTTCTTTGCTAGACCATGCAATTTTAGCTGGGCCAATCAAATTACTAAAGGTTCGATACTCGATTTGAAGGATTCCAAAAGTGTTGCTAGGTTGGAATATGATATGAGCAAGCGATACAGCTTCTTTATCCAGGTTATAGGTAACTGCTTTAATATGCCTCGAAGGTTTCTGTCTTGGCAAGGGAATAATTTGTACCACAGTGAATTACTTGTAGAGACGCTCAAACGCAATTGTAAGCCCTCTAAAGTCAACCCATTTAAAGAGCTTCTCTGAACTTCAAGCTTGAGTCAGCCATAGTCTCTCCCCAGACCCTGTAATGTGGGATTATGATTGTTAGGATGTCCGCTATACATGAGGGTTAATTATCATTATCCCTTCCGTGATAAAAAGTCTCAGACTTTGAGTGCTTGAGAGCTACCATGGGAGGTCAATGGTCGGTCAGAATTTGATAAGTACTGTCATTTAACGTCATTGTGCATATGGTGACGATCTTTGTGGTTATATGTACAGTTAGTGAAGCCTATCGGTTGTCCTGCAAGCAAAAGAGATGGCATCCGCAGGTCAATGGCATGTGATCTACTGGCTGGTGAACTTCGTATTCTGAAATCTGCTGCTTCATGGCTAGGGAACTACACAACCAATCTGTGACAGCATAAAACTGGCCGGAGGCATTGTTAGTCGGTGAAACAATTGAGAAAGCTGACAATTTCCATGTCAGAAATCAAAGGGAGCACCAGTGAAGGGAGAAACCCATCACTCTGTATTTTTTATGGGGGCCAAATATCTGAACGCAGTCGGCAGCCAGTCAGAGCCTTCTTGTTTGGGTGCGTGCAAATCAGGTGTGTGGATTATCTGTTTCTCATGTTCTCTTCTTCAGAGTTAGAAGAGGTCATCCGTTATCCACGCACATTAAGCTCCCTTAATGCAGATAAGCATCTGATTTCTGAATCAATGCCTTGAAGTTTGGTACCCTTGTTAATGTATTTGAAGCCTTACCTTCTTCCTCCGGCTTGGGATCTCTCTATGCATATTGTCGTTTGCTTGGTCGTTCTGATTAATGTTATCCGATTGGGTTGTTTTGCTGAAGCTTTGATTTGTCCACGCCCAGTCACCTTTGGCTTGGATTTATCTTGGCTCGTATTGCAATTCACTGAAAGCAACTCAATTTGAGTTTTTAGTTGAAGGGAGGCATATTATCTGCCAAGGCCAAAATTCAATGGACACGCAAGATGATTTGATCTTTTCACCTGATTGCATAGTGGCCAAAATTCGATTTTTCAAATATTTTCAAATGAATTAAAAATGCTCGATAATCATGAATTAAGGGTTAATCAAAGAATTGTGGTAGCAAAGGGTGTTGTGGGATGCTAATATGCTCCTTATGTTGCCGAACACGCGAACTCAACCTTTTGATTACGCAATAGACCAGTCACCTTACACGTCACCTAGGTAGTTTATTTCCCTATAATTACTTAGGCATACTTGGTCAAATGACCCAAGTAAAAACGAATGGAACAAAATCAATCCGTGGCGACTCTTTTCTACATTTTTCATAATTCGAAGTATCATCTACTTTTGTAGTCAACTTGAACCTAGGGACTTAAAAAAAAAGAGACCTTGCTCCCGAGAGCTTCCGTCTCCCCTCTTCGGGGGTATTCCTCTCCCTCAACGGGAGTCTTCCTCTCCACTTGGTTGGAGTTTTCTCTTTCTTCGTCATATCAACTTCACTTATTTCCTTCTTCATCCACTTCTCACCCAAGGTCGCCGACTTCCCCCCGATCGAGACGAGGATGATCTGCTCCGTTCGTGCTATAATATTCTCTGCTGGTTGTGTGCCAGTGAAGAAGTAGCTCCTTCAGCAGCGATTTGGTGGTGCTTGGTGATGCTGGTGCTCGAGTGGCTCCTCGTTTGTAATTCAATTGCTGAGGTATCAGTGAGCGCACACCAAGTGTTCGTTTTAATGCCTGCTAGAAAGTTGTTAGAGAAGTGAAGTGTTTTCTTTGGCGGTGGTTGGTGATTGAGGAGTAAATCTTTTTCTGTGGTTAGTGGTTAAGGGAGGCGGGCCACTGCCCCTTCGTAACCATGAATATTATAGCCTGGAATTGCCGAGGCATTGTAGGAATACCCAGAGAGAGAGAGTTGAAGGCTACGTGCCAATTTTGCAACCCAGATATCGTGTTTCTATCAGAGACAAACTGTGATACTAGTCGGATAGAAACTCTTACACGACGGATTGGATTTACCCACTCCTTTTCAATTTCTGAGGATAAATCATTTGGAAAGATCCTGTGGTCTTATCCATTTCCTTTGCAGGCAAAAACCAAATTCACACGAAGGTTTCTAACAGAGAAAATCCTGAGCATTTATGGTGGCTTTCGTTGGTGTATGCACCCCCTTATTTTGGTCTTAAGCAAGCATTTTAGGAAGAATTCACTGGTCGGGTTCGAAACTTGGGAGAGGACTGGGTTGGAATTGGAGACTTCAATGAGACCATCTCTGATTCAGAGGCGTCCAACAGAAGGGGCCTGGGCCTATCTCGTTGCTTCCTAGCGGACTTTATGGATTTAGTGGGCTGTGTTGATCTTGAGTTTAAAGGCAAACCTTATACCTGGGCAAATAGCAGAGGGGGCTTTACAAGCGTTTGAAAAAGACTGGATCGAGCAATCTGTTCAACTTTGTGGCGTGAGAAATCCCCTCGGGTAGGGGTTGTCCACTTATCGACCGTAAATTCGGATCATTCCCCTATTTGGATGAATTCGACTTCTCTTGAGGACAATTCGCAACGCCCTTTTAAATTTGAAGCCGCTTGGCTGCGGGACTCAACCTGTGTTAATGTAGTGGAAGAGGCTTGGAACACCGAGGTGGAAGACAATTCAATGGCCTCATGGCATAGGAAACTAAAATCAACAGCGATGGCCCTCAAAAAGTGGAATAAGGAACACTTTGGCATTTGCCAACAACGCCTTAAGGATGTGAATTCATCACTTGATTCCATTCAAAGGGATGATCCTTCAGAAGAAAATAGCATGAGAGAAAAAGAAATCAAGGCGGTTATTAATGAGCAATGGGAGAGACTGGAGATGATGTGGAAGCAAAAATCAAGACAATCGTGGCTGCAAGAGAGTGATCGAAATACCAAAATTTTCCATCTCTCTACCATTATCAGAAGGCGCAAAAATTGTATCTTAGCAGTGCAAGATGATGGGGGTCGATGGATCACGAATATGGATGAGATCAAAAGCTTTTTTCTATCTAAGTATACAGAGCTTTTTTCGGGACCAACACTCGATCCACACCCTCGCTTAGGGGAGTTACTCCCTAAGGCTATTTCTGAAGAGGAAAACTTTGAACTTACGGAGATTCCAACGGAAGATGAAATCTATAGAGTCCCTAAAGCGATGGCCCCTATTAAATCACCAGCCCAGACGGATTTCATGCCATCTTCTATGTGAAATGTTGGGACGTGGTGAAGGCCCAAGACATCCAATTTGTACAGCACTTTTTTCGCACTGGTCAATTGCCTCACCTCATTAATCATACTTTCATAGTACTTCTCCCAAAATCGCAAAATGCACATACTTTTACCCAGTTTTGTCCCATAAGTCTGTGTAACGTGAGCTACAAACTTATTTATAAGTTGTTAGCTAATAGACTGAAAGGGTTTCTCAGCCGTTTGATTTCACCTCAACAATTGGCTTTTGTTCCGGGTAGAAGTATACAAGAGAACTCAGTTATGGCATAGGAAATCATGGACTCCATGAGAAATAAACAAAATGGCAGGGCTTTTGTGGGAGTAAAGGTGGATATGTCCAAACCTTATTATAGAGTTGATTGGAATATTCTCGATACAATACTCCGCAGTGTGGGGTTTTTTGATCACTTTTGTAGACTCATAAACCGGTGTATTTCGACAGTTCATTATACTCTGCTCATCAACGGTAGGCCGGCCGGAGGTCTTACACCTCAAAAGGGTCTCCGACAAGGTCATCCTATCTCACCATACATGTTCGTAATTTATTCTGACTACTATCTCGAGTACTCAATCGGGTAGAGGACTTGAAGATAATCATAGGGATAAGAGCAGGGCGGGACATTCCTTCTCTGACACACCTTATGTACGCTAATGACCTGTTGTTATTTGTTCAAGCCATAAAGAGACATGTGAGAGCGCTGAAAGAATGCATTGAAATTTACTCCTCCTGGTCAGGTCAGAGCTTAAATCGTCAAAAATCGTATGTTTTCTTCTAAAAAAATACTTCCATAGGAATGAAAAAATTTTGCATGGACGAACTCAACATGAAGAAGATAGACCCTGACGCATTGTACCTTGGCAACCCTCTCTTCAAACGTGAAAATGACAGGGCTAGATACCAATTCCCGAAACAAAAGGTTGATAACAAACTTAGTCATTGGAAAAGGAAGTCCTTGTCTTGGGCGGGTAGAGCAACGTACATTCGATCGGTTGTTCAGAATAGTTCGATCTATGCTATGCAATCCAATAGGTTGCCAAGAGTCACTTGTGACAAACTTGATGCAGCTACTAGGAAATTCCGATGGGTTGTCCCGGCTGGGAAAAACAGGTTCTTCACACCTAAATGTTTGGACTCTTTGTGTAGAAATAAGAAAAGTTGTGGACTGGGTTTCAGACAAACCAAGGATTTCAACCATGCTTTGATCCTCAAACTCGGTTGGGGATTGATAAAAGATAGAGGCAAATTATGGGTTCGAGTCCTTGAGGGAAAATATCTACGGAGATCTAACTTTTGGAACCATGAGGTTAAGGCAACAGCATATCCGTTATGGAAGGCAATCATGGACACTAGAAAAGTACTCAAACTCGGCACTCTTTATCAGGTAGGGGATGGTAAGTCAATTGAGGTCGGTAATCACCCTTGGATTCCACACATACCAAATCATCTTCCTTCTTTTATTGATCCTGATCCTATTTTAAAGCAAAGGAAAATAGCGAGCTTCTTTATCCCGGGGATAAAATCTTAGGACGTAAACAGTCTAACTCGGGTGTTTTGCCCAACCTCAATCCAAGTCATTCTTCAGATTCAGGTTCAATCCTCCATTTGGGTAGATAAACCGATTTGGCAGCCAGCTTTTGATGGATTGTTTACTGTTAAATCCACTTATAAGCTCATCACTGGAACAAAATTTGGAAAGCTAGAGTTCATGAGAGGCACAAGATGATGTTTTGGAGGACAACAGCCAATGTCTTGCCCTATAGAGCTAACCTGGGCAAGTTATTTCACATTCCAAACCCTTCCTGTCCGTTGTGTGGAAATTCAAAAGAAACTTAAGTCCATTTATTCATAGCATGCCCTTTTGGCCCAGATTTTATGGAAACAGAGTCCATGGGATATCATCTCGTTTGCTTGGAACTTCACATCACCGGAGGAAATGATAAACCACTTCCTTGACCCTGGACAAATTGCACAGATAATGGGATTCGATTACAAACTCTTCACTCTCTATGCAGTGATTCTATATACTAGAATGTGGTTTTATAGGAATTTCATATTACAGGATCAAGCTATTCCAAATCCTTCCTAGGCAATTAAGTTGGTTTCACAGGAGTTCATGAAATTCTCAAACAAGTTCGGGAAGAGAACACAGTTGCAACAAGTTCAAAAGCCGATTCGATTGGGGTAGGAATAGACTTATGGCTCCCACCATCAGATCAAGAGCTTAAATTTAATGTAGATGGTGCGTGGAAAGATAACAAATGAGCCATAGGTATCATTGCACGATCGGCTAGCGGCTTAGTAGTCCACACTTGGACAAGGAAAGGATGTTGGAACTCGCCGATGAAAGTGGAAGCAACAGCTCTCCTTCTCGCCTGCAATTATGCTCAGTCCCTGGGCATCCGAAAAGTGATTTTTGAAAGCGATTGTAAGGTCTTAATTAATGCCATCCAACAAAAGGGTCTTTTCCCTTGGAGTATTCAGCCTTTCGTTGCATATTCTCGCTTTCAATTTCAGCATAATCCAGGTTGAAACTCGGCTTGGACCCGTAGAACCAAGAATGGAGCTGCTCATGCACTTGCAAATTAGGCTTCTAATCAAATATGCGCTACATCCTCTTTTCTTTTCCACGATCTCCCGTCTAAAGTTAAAAATATTGTACTAGTAGAATCTTCTTTTATATATCGTTCTAATGTAGGTAATGCATCCTTTTTGTAATGCTTTGTTTCCAATGAAAAGTTTAATTTCTAGCAAAAAAAAAAACTTGAACCTAGGTATTAGGAAGACCCTAGGAACAATGATTGGATGCACTACCAACCCTTTAACTTTTTTAATTTTTTTTAAGACAAACTTTTGCCTTGCGCATCTTTTTCATCCAATATCCTATTAACCCATTTTTGCACCACAAATAATTCGCCACTCAAACTTTCTCAAAATGCGGTCGGCTCATTAAAAAAATGCCAAGATCTTGGGTTTTGCGGAATTTGAGTCGAAGGGACGGTCATGGTGGAAAGTTGGGATACTTTCTTCCTTCTAAATCCAATTGATGTGATTTTTTAGGCATCGGAAAACAGTGATATCAATTCATAGGGAAAGATCACCAATTTTCCGATACCTGCAAGATCAACCCGGCCATACGCGATATCTTGAGATCACCAATTTTCATACGCGATATCTTGAGATCCGGCCATCCAATTGTAAAGGTAATATTCTAACACTGGCGTGCACTCTTGGCCAGTCTCTCTGCTCTCTCTCACTCGTTCACCCCATCCAGTGGCTTCGTTGCCACCGGCACCTCTCCACAACCACCGCCTCCACTATCAAATAACGAAATGATCAGGTCAATTTCAGTCCAGCCAATATTCTTAGGTTTAAGATTGTCAATCTAGAATCCTAAACTAACAACTTTACTGTGCATGGTTGTTCCTCCTGTGAAGAGATAAAACTCGAGTTGACAGACACAAGCTCCTTTGTATCTTTCTTCAAGGGTGAGAGTTTAGGGCGAAGACCGCTGTATCGATGCAATCTACAAAAATGAGCTTGATTCTGAAGCCATCGGTTTTTAATCTCCATTATAATCTATTTTCACACCCATGTATATCAAAGAAAGATATTATGCAAATTTTGTTTCATTAGATAAGTCATTAGCGTACTCAAAACAAAACTACATGAAGGGCCT